ATGTCTTCTGCTCTAACTGATTTGGAGACTGCTTAACAAGGCTGCTACTTTTACAGGTCTCTTTCTCTCAAAATGGTTTGCTCCACTCTCTGAAAGAAATTTGCTCCATCTCAGATCTCCTGGATGGAAGCGGGCACACCAGCGGCCCAGTGTGGAGCGGGGGTGGCGGCTTGGTGCAGGAGAGCGGTGGCAGCCAGCCGTCAGGCCACATTGAGGCCCCCTGCATTGGTCTGCCACGGAGAGCCTTTGGAGACAGACTGTGATGTTTGTCTTTTTAAGTTTGCTTCTTGTTTTTCCTGACCTATGGTCATACTATGTATAGCTGTAAATGTAACTCATTTTTTACTTCATTTTTCTATTCTGTAGTGAGGGTTTGTGCCTAGGTACATTTATACCTAGGATAGTGCTGTAAGTGGTGACTTATAAACTTTTCACTTCCATGTGACAATAAAGCGTGTTTGCTTACTCGTTCATTCATTCTTAAAAAAAACTTGCTTTCTGTTTCTGTCTCCCTGTTTCATAGGGCACCTTGTTGCTTGACAACAATTCTTTTCTCCCTCTTCTATCCTTGTTTCGAAAGTACTGAAATATTCATCTCAAGGGTTTTAAAAGCCACATTTAAATGCATACAAAAAATTCCCAATCCTCACTACTCACACAGCTAAAAGCTTAAACTAAAACTACGCCTTCTCTTATTAGTGCATAGAACATTAAAGTACAAATCAAATTCAAAGGTACGTATCATTTCTCCACCTTGCAGCCCAAGTTAGCAATAAAAAAATCACGAACCTTCACAACAACTTCATATGCAGGAACTACTTTTCTGCAAATAAAAGGAAGCTGTTCAAGATTTTCAGCTACTTTGAATTTAGGGGAAGTGATGTTGACAACCAGGTAACCACTGCTGACTGTTGTAAAAACCCATCTGGTTTGCTAATGTCCTTCAGGGAAGGCAATCTGCTGCCATAGACAGTATGGCCTACATGTAACTCTACACCCATAGCAGTATGGTTGACTCTTAACTGCCTTCTGGGCAATTAGGGTTGGACAATAAATGCTGCTTGACACACACATCCCATGAAATAATTTTTAAAAACCCAGAAAAATGGGGAGCATGTATTTCTCTGTCACTTTCCCAATGGTACCATTTAGCAAATCTCACCGTGATGCTACGAATCTCACCTTTCTTTTCCTCTTTTCTGTCTCCCTGCCAATTATTTTAACATTCCCCCAAAAATACTATTAGCAAACCATCCTGCAAGGACTTTTTAAAATTCATTCATAGGATGTCAATTCAGGCCAGCATCAATTGTCCATCTCTGATTTCCCTGAAACTAAGTGACTTTCTGGGCCATTTAAGGCAGCAGCTAACATTCATCCACATCATTGTGGTTCTGGAGTCACATTAGAATGGTTAATTTGGAAAAAAAGTTGATGGGCCAACCAATCAGCACTGCTTTACTACTCTGGTATAAATTATTGCGACTGTTTAAAATTTGGCATTCTTGCTTATATGTCATGAATGTAAAACAAAACATTTCAGCAATATGTTTCTCTTTTCAGCAATCTTCAAGTTCATCGAATCATACAGTATAGAAGAGGCCCTTTGGCCCATCAATCTATACTGCCAAAACAATACTAAACTATATGAACCCACCTTTCAGCAGAAAGCCCATAGCCTTGAATGTTTTGACATCCAAGTGTTCATCCAAGTACTTTTACAAGTTGTGAGGTTATCTGCCTCAACAAATCTCCCAGGCAGTACATTCCAGACCCCACCACTCTCTGGTTGAAAAGGATTTCCTCCCTTCTAAACCTCCTGCCTTTCACATCCTTGTGTTATTGACTCTTCAGAGGAACAATTGCTTTCTATTCACCCTGTCCATGCCCCTCACAATTTTATAAACCTCAATCAGGTCCCCTCTCAATCTTCTGTGCTCCAAAGATAACAACCAGATCTTATCCAGCCTCTCTTCATAGCCAAACTGCTCTATTCTAGGCAACATCCTGATTAATCTCCTTTGCACCCCCTCCAGTACAATCATATCCTTTCTATTGTGCAATGACCAGAACTGCACACAGCTGTGGCCTAACCAAAGTCCTGTGCAGCAGTAACATAAACTCCCTGCTCTTATAATCTTTGCCTAAAGGCAAGTGTCCCATGTGCCTTCTAAACTACTCTATTCACATGTCCTGTCATGTTCAGGGACTTGTGGATAAGCACCCCAAGATCCCTCTGTTCCTCTGAGCCTCCTGCCGTTGTACTCCCTAGTCTTGTTTCACCTTTCAAAATGCATGTTCACAATTATCAAGGTTAAATTCCAACTTTCATTGATCAACCCAGTTGACCAATCCATTTCTATCCTCCTGTAATCTAAGACCTCCTTCCTCACTGTCAGCCATCCAGCCAAAATTTGTGTCATCCACAAACTTACTTATCTTTCCCCACATATTCTTATCTCCTGCCTCTGATCTGCTGTTGTAGGCATAGCATTTATGTGGTTGATTTAGTGATGTTTTTGGTCAATGGTGACCTGTAGGTTATGGCCTATGAAGGATTCAGTGATAGCAATGTTGCTGGAATCTCAAAATGAGATGATTAGATTCTTGTAGAGATGGTCATTGCCTGGCATTTTTGTGACACTCAAAGTTCCCTCTAAGTCCACTCCATGGTTCTGAGCACGGTGATCAGCATCACATGGCTCTTGCCACATTCCAAAGCTGAATGTTGTCCACATCTTCCTGCAAGAGGGCATGAACTGCTTTAATTTCTGAGGAGTTGCAAATATTATGCAATCATCAGTGATCATCCCATTTCTGACACTGAAAGGAAGGTTACTGATGATAATGCAACTGAAGATGACTGGGCATTGCACTGATGTCCTGAGGATCATTGGTATCCAACAACCACAACCATCTACCTTTGTACTAGGTATGACTCCAGCCAGTGCCCCTGATTCCCAATGACTTCAATTTTGCTGGGGCTCTCATTTCACCTTCAGCTCCTTGGCCAATATTTGGATCAAAGCTTGAATGGTGTCTGATGCCACGTCATCTGGTGGAACCCAAATGGAGCATCAATGAGTGGGATTTTGATAGCCAGTGCCATTTGAAAGCACTTGTTGTATGTTGCTGTTCCTTCATTGTGGTTGGATCAAAATCTGAGAATTCTATATAACAGCACTGTGGTATATCTTCACCACTCATATAGCAGGAGCTCAAGAAGCCAACTCATTCACATGGGAAAGATAGGGATAGAGAATTACTGTTGGCCTTACCAGTGATACTCCTTTTCCGTAAGTAGATTAAACTATGATTGGTTCCATGACTTGATAGTAATGGTGTAGTGAAGAAGATTTGGTTAGATTGGGGTGGAATATGATACAGCTGTTTCTGATGTCCCACAGCATCTCACCCTTGCCTAATTTTGAACTGTTAGATTTGTTCTGTATCTATCCCATTTAGCATGACCATGTCATAATGGGAGGTATCCTCAGTATGAAATTGAAACTTTGTCTCTGCAAAGACTATGTAGTGATCACTCCTATAAATACTATCATAAGTCGGTCTAGCTGCAGATTAGATTTGTGAGGTCAAGAGCAGGTAGATTTTCCCTTGTGTTGGTTCTCTCATGGCATGTTGCAAGCCCTGTCTAGCAGCCATGTACCTTACAGCATGTGTATTTATAAAAAGTTTACCCTGCACTGTGGTCTGAAGTCTTTTGGAGCTTACTTTACTGGCCTTAGGAACGTACTAGTTGCATCTTGGAATGGTTTTCTGTCTCAAAGGTACATCTGTTAAAAAAAATGTACTGTAGGAGTGACTGTTGCAAAATGGTCTGTTGCTGTACACTTATGGCCATTATGTAAGGTCTAAATGAGAGGATTTTCCGTTATATGATATCTGAGGAATATGGATGGTGCTACAAAATGCGAGTATCTGATCTCAGATTTATGTTTAGAAGAGATTCTACTTAATATCTGGTATGTTGTTTTGCTGACCTTCCTTAAAATATTCCAAAGTTCACTGCCGTGAAGAAATTCATGAAAATATGAACAAAAAAGTGTAGCACCAAAAATTTATAAAGCTAGGAGTCTATAAGTGACTAAATTTGGTATGAAACGTAGTTGGCTAGTTAAACGGCTAAACTCTAATTCTAATTGCTAATGGGGTTGCAAAAATAATCATTGAAGTTTGATTTTTGGATCGAATAAATTTTCTAATTAATTCAGAGCTTCTAACCACTAATAGCTCTTCAAACATTTTTCCCTCCACTAAAATACACTGTTCTGTACTTAAATCTTACAGTAAGGGAGCAGTTTGCTCTCAGGCACTGTCAATACTATGTTATAAGATATATATGACTAAAGGAATTCAATACCTTCTTATCTTCTCTTTCAGAACTTATTTGCTTCAGGAATTCATTAGTTGCTTTGTAAAATGTGTCATGCCTGATCTGACTCATCTCTAAATCTTCATATTTCATTATTGATCAATATATGAAACTCATTTAAGAAAGTCATTCTGAATGTTCTTGTCTTATAAACCAAAGATGCAAAGGTTTGTTATAGAATCACAGAACGTTTACAGTACTGAAGGACGTTCTGACAGTTTACAGATAAATTTACACAGCACAGCGTTAAGAGGGGCATTTAGTACACACGGCAGAAAGTTTTGAAAATGGGAGAAACAATAAATGGGTTCCTGTTTGAATGAGACGACTGTGACTGTATTCCAGTGCATTAAGAAATGTAGGTTAAGGGTTAGAACCAAAGATACAAATTGCCACAATGGTGGAAATTAGTTGGTGAAAGAATGAGATTAATTAATATGTGGTTGTTTAATAACTCTAAGTCTAGGTTTTAAAGCCTATCACTAACATCATTAACAAATATATCCTTCTGTACTTTGTTTATCTTCTTGCAATGTTAAATTTACATTTATGACTGAGCACAAAATACTCTGCTTTAGGGGCAGTATTATATGTCTCCAGGGCTCACCTGGAACACTGAGTACTGCAGCAACTTTTGTTCCAGCTGCTTCACAAGTATACATCCCACTATCCGCTGGGGTGACATCACAGATTTTCAGTTTTGCTACATTCCAGTCCTGGTCAATAATCACGCGATGACCATCAGCCTGAACCTCTTTGTCATTTCTTCTCCACACAGCCTTGACTGGTCTGGAGTACTGACAGATAAACTCTGCTGTACCATGTTCCTCTCTAATGATATCTTCCATTTCGCTTACTATCTCAACCGTTGGATCTGTCAATCAATATGCCACAGGAGATTTATTAGCAGCACTGAAAAAAAGCCCAATATTTGAAAGTTAATTTATCCTGAACACATAACAATATTAGATATTGTAGAATTGACAACCTATATCAGTTTATTTGATTACTTCCTGGTTCACTGATGATAATTCACATCACAGTGCTGAAAGTAGAAAGTGTCAGCTACAGCATTTAATTTATTTTGTAAGGTTACTAATAAGATCACAGCCAACACTGAGATAAATTTAAATTGAAAAATATATTTGTAATAATGTATGGAAATCCAAACTTACAGTAAGTAAAAGCTACCAGAAATTTTGATAGAACCAGCTAAACTTATTTCATGAGACTTTGAACATCATTTAAAGATGAAATGTAACTACCTACATCATTTCATAAGAACTCAAGGATAGCCAGGAACAGAAAAAGGTCTTGACATTCAACAAGACATTCAACATTTCAACTGATTGCTCAGTCTGGTGGAATTTTCTGATCATTTATTTCTCAAATCCCTGATGAAAGGAATCTCCTGACTTTTCCTTTTACTATTAACTTCTTAATAATTTTGTAAACCCTCTATTACACAATACACATTGATTGGAGAACACGTTCTTGTCAATTCTTCCATAGAAAGATGCATGTTCCTTAAAGAATGCCTCTGGCAGTAACTGAGTAAAGTTAGACTTAAACACATTAAAATTACTCTGTTCAACAATTTTATTGCTGCCACTTTGTATTCGCTCAATTCCAGTGTGATTAACATTAATAAGTCATTTAAAATGTATAAGTCAAATGGTTAATCACGTAACTCCTGTGAGCATAACTGTTGTTAAACAATCAACAGCAGAGCAAAAAAGTCCATTTATCAGACCAGGTCCTGAACATGCTAGTTACCATAATAATGGACTGATATGACCAGACTTTGATGGAAAGATGTTTCTGACAATATCAAGGTAGCAATGTAATTGCGACTGAAAGTTATGAATACTGTTAATGTATTATCAACCAACCTCAAGTTCTGGCAGAAGATCCAAAAGAAGGCATACAATCTAAAAAGACCATAATGTTAAGGCACGAAGATTGCTGTGAGGTTGTTTCATGGATCATTTAATGGTTGTGAAAAAGGTTAAAAGTTTTATGCAAACAAATGAATGCCCTATGTTGCAAAATGTTAGTAGGATATAGCAAGAAAGGTACAAAAGACAACTGCAGTGTTATGTCACCCATGGAAAAGAATGCATCTCAGGAAAGAATTTCCAAAGGCTAAATTAACCTTGGAAGCTGGTGGAAAAGCAAGAATGAGAACAAGAACTGATATGTTTAATTAGTGTTCTTACATCAGAACTCTCATGAGCAAACTGAATATAGCAAGATCCCACAGATGGCAAATGAGATAGACTGCTTTTTGACAATGAAGTGACAGACATATGAGCATTAATGCTAGGAAACTCTTTGCATTGAAACTTTTATGTTCACTTAACTAAGCAGATGAGACCTTGTTTGAACATCTGATCTGAATGCCAATTTGATTATGACTATAGAATATACACAGCATTTATCTTTAGCTACAGTTTAAATTGTACTGTGGACTATTAGGAAATTAAGAATTAGTTAAAAAAATACTTACCTGGACCTCTTATTGACATGATACTTTGTCTCAGAATGTTAATCGGCATGCAGTTATAATGACATAAGCATCTGAAATAGATTATTGCAGTACAACTTTTCAGCTTAATTTAGGACTCTGTCCTTCTGGGGCAGGTACTGCACTGATGCTTGTTTCCAATAAGTTAAACTCAACGCTAACAGAATACAGGGCACACTGTCACCCTGACTCTCACTGTGACTGAGCGTGCCCCATTATGGTTATTGATATCAAGGATGCATTTTACCCCTTATTGAAATAGATGTCCTCTAGTAATAAATGTTGTACAATTTTTATAATATTAATCGAGTTGAACATGTGCAGACGAATATTTAAATAGGAAACCATTTTGATATTCATATGTTCTAATATTCATTTAGGTCATGAGAGATCTGTACCTCAACTCCAATAAATCAATGTTATTCCCTATCTTTGTTACCAGTCTCTAATGAAAATCAATCAATATCAGCATGATAGTTTCAATTATTCCAGTATAGACAGTCTTTTGGGACATTAAGATCCTCTTTTTCCACAATGTTTTTTATAGGGAATAAGTGTTTCCTGATTTAATTTGTAAAAGGTCTAGCTCTAATTTAATATTATATCCATCAGAGGTGATAGTTTCTCTGTCTATTTATCTAATCTCTTTATTAAGTATTAACCCATTAGGCATTGGTGTCACCCACTGAATCTCTGCCAAGGCCTATTTTTCGGAGATTCATTAGCCAAAACTAAGTGCAGTGTTCCAAATGGGATCTAACTCCCTATATAAATGGAACAGACTATTTGGTGTCCATATCTAATTAAATATTGCAAAATGAACACTTTGCACATAGCGCCACCTTCAGTAAGGCTGTTTCATTATTTTAATTTTGGCGCTCTTCACATTTTAATAGCAAACTCAACTACACTACTGCTGAATCTAAGGCAAGCAAACAAAGTGAAATACAATATTTCAGTCTGAATGATAATCAAGAGCAATCGAACTGAACTGATAAATTTGATGCAGGTATGCATATGCATTAAAACAACAAAATTTTACACGATCTGCACCAGATGTAAAATATTATTTTAGTGTGACTGGGTGAGTGGCTTCTTAATACAGTATACAATCCAACAACCTTTACTTGATTATTTTAAAATGACTGCACAAATATATTACTTGCCACTTCATCAGTCCCTAGTATTACCAAAATTGTAGATGAATAACGTGTCATCCCCCATTATAAAACAATGTGGATTGAATCTAATGCTAAATAAGATTTACAGTTTCATCAATTGCATCCCAACTGCTAGAAAAGGTTTCTCTGTTTGCTTTTGTTTTACAATCTCATTTTAACAAAATACTTCTTCAGATGTTATCCAGAAACAAAGGGTGGCAGGAGACAATTGAGGATTGAACAAAGAAAAACAGAGAGCAGGAATATTTTTCCAACTCTGGAAGGTAACATTTGACCTGCTCTGCTGATTATGATTTCTCTCGACTCCCATGCCTTTGGCCTCCCTATGCATGACTGCAGCCAACCTACCCCACTAATACCAATTTCTTTCTTCTCCTTCCCCAATCATGCCTCCAAAATCTAATCTCCCCCACTCTTGAAATCTTTCAATATAGTTTTGCTCCCCAACTCTCCTTTCATGCCCTCATTTCTGTTTGTCTGTTTGCCTAACAATACGTAACAACCTGAACTTGTTCACCTCAAATCAACCCATGTGAAATCATTAGCCATTTATACATTGAGCAGAACTTTCCCAAAAGAATCACCTAAAAGTCAATTTCAGGGAGTTCCATAGAGGGTTTCTCTCCATGAACATCAGTGACTCTTCTAATGCAATTTTATGCAACTCACTTCATTAGGTACATACCATGTTTCCAAAGTACCGCTCTTGCACAGCAGTCCGCTTAACCATGTTGAAATGCTCACCTTTTAGGGATCTTGCAACAATAACGCTGGGGATTTCATATTTATAAACAAATCTGTGCACTGTATGAAATACTACTATTCAGGGGTCAGTATGGTGTCAGAGTCTGGCATGGATAAGTTTCACCATCAATTCACAGCTACCTCACACTTACTCTAACCTTGCCATTGCACCCACCTCCCACCAAGTCTCATGGTCTATCACTCTTGGTGTTGCATGCAGCATCTTCCCTCAATGGCTCTCACCTACACCATCCCCATAAACAACTAACAATTCTTGCATTCTGCACTTACACTCTCACTCAGGACGCACCTTTCCTGATTGATGATAGACCAGTCACTTAACTGACTACAGAGCCCTTGATTGTTCATTCCTACCACACATGACAAGGTGTCTGACTATCTGTCGCAGCAAGGCAAGGTATGGCAGAGTTGCTGTGAGCATCCTAGCAGATGCACAGTAAATGAGTGGTGGGACAGTCTGAGATGTACCCTGTACTGAAGGATGAGATGGATGCCTGTCCTTGTGTGCAAAGCACCATGGCAGCAGTGTTGCAATGAAAGATGTCAGTGAGCTCTTAAGTATCTTTGAGAACTCCCATATCTCTCCTTCATTTTAAGGACCAGATGCCTTACAAGAACGGCTGCTGGGAGATGTGGATTACCTCTGCAAACATGGATGCTGATTCCATTACTCACCCTCTTGAATGAGTTTGAGTGCAGATACAATGCAGCCCATGTTGAAGAACTGGAAGTATGACAGCAGCCTTTCGAGGAGGAAGATGAGGACACTGAACAGGAGAAATATCACCTTCAACGTATAAAGCTCTGCAGCATCAGGTGTAACTAGCCAGACAGGGCTTAACTGACACTCAATTCAAACATATGTGAGCTGGGTGCAGTAATCATTCATTGAGTTACAACAAATTTATAGTCAAAGGCAAATGGTCCCTGTCTGTTCTCCTAAATGAATGCAAGTTTTCTGTTTTCTTTTCTTCACTTTTGTTATTGTTCAATAAAATTAAAGATGATCAATGAGTTAAAAGCTTTCCTGTATGCAGTGCTCTCATATTGAACAATGTGAAGATGTTATGCTACACTGGGCGTTAGGGTAAGGGTTGGACTCATTAGACAGGGTGCTAAGATTGATGGCAGTTGATCAGACAGGTGATGATGTAACAATACATTTACAAACAAGAACATGTATTTGCAAAGGCGTCACCTGTGTCACCTATGTGCTCTCAGAAGCTTTAGTTTTTCATTCCCCTTCCGCCATGTGCACTGTGGAGGGCTGCTCCTGGCTGGCAACACTTGACCTGGTACACAGCTGAGCTATAAAAATGGCTCAGTACTTAAAAATCTTAGGAGGACTTGGTAGCGGTGAGTACTTCCACAAATTCTAAGCACACAATACTGCAAACTGGGTGCCTTGGAGTATGGTGCATATTTAAATGAGGCAACTGCAGGGAAAAGCATTAGATAACTTGCTAGAGCTCATGGAGTGAAACCTTCCTTGAAACTCCCTGAAATTGCTGAATTTTAGTAAAAGTCAGCCCATAGCCAACTGCTCTGCAATTCACATATCAATATATCTATCCACTCACTGTTTAATTCCACAATGAGATCCATACCACCTCTTACAATCTGAAATTGCAAAGAAGTGCAGTGAAACCAACAGCATTTAAAGAAAAGTGTTTAAAACAAATCTTTATCTGACCAAATACCTTTGACTAATAATTTTGCTGAAGAAATAAGTGACCCAGCTTTAAATGTCACTGTTCCGGAGTCATCAGTTCCCAGGCTCTGTAACGTTAATGTATGGATACTTCCATCTTGAACAGATATCTCGTTCAGATCATTATTCTGTAAGGGTGCACCATCCAACCACCATTGCACATTTTCCACATCCTTGTGCGAAAGTTCGCAACTAAATGTGGCTGACTCACCAGCAAAGACATCAGTATTCTTTAAACCAGAAACTATTTTTATGTCACATTCTGGAAAATAAAATGAAAATGTTTTAAAAGTAAACATTTACCAGCAATTTGATGTTCAACTGCATCCGATAAAGAGTTAAAATACACACATGCAGTCAGAGGTGTTAACAAATATATCTATCCAACTGCGTGATTCCAGTATATGAGCAATTTCATATCTATTAAGCAACTTTCTTTCCAGAAGTATTTTATCAGAGAAAGGAGTCAAAACTATGAAAAGTAGCTTGGCAAGATAATAAAAGGAAAACATTGTACATTTTATTCAAACGATTCAGGAAGATTTATGGGTCAATATAAGTTTCTAAAAACTCTATTAAAATTTCCAGATGACAAAGACCTTCCAAGTTTAGACTTCAGAAAGCTAATCAATGCAATGGCTATTAAATGCCTTAATAAATTTTCCGACTATACTGACTGCACAGGTGTCCTATATTCCAGGTACACAAATCACTTACTTCTCATTTTTTTAAGATCCTGTGTTGTTAAATATATACAGCACAATTTTTTTTCTAACTATCTGCACTACTATTTCAAAATTATTAATTGAGTAAATAAATCAAACCCAATGAGCTATTCCATTTAGCAAAGCTTTTTTCCCAGCTTGGTTTTACTTGTTAATAAACAAAAACTGTGCCACTCAATCTGAACCTGGCATAAAGAAGAATGCCTGCAAGTTAAAATCAAATGTATTGATATTTTCCACTCTGCATCACTTAAAAAGAGGTGAATAATCTGTTATATTTTAAATAATTGTTGGGCGTTCTTAATATTGCTTCAGTGGTCTTTAATTAAATAAAGAACATCTTTTCCATGGGAATGTTTTGCTGACGATTGTCGATTTTGAATTGGGCACCAAGAATTTAATAAAAACAAAGTACTGTGATGCTGGAGAACTGATATGAAAGCAGGAAATGCTGGGGAAACTCAGCAGGTCTGGCAGCATGTGTGGAGACAGAAACACAGCTAACATTTCGAGTTCTTTCAAGTATGAATTCTCTTCAGAACTATCTACAAATGCTGTCAGAATTTCTGAATCTGTCCAGCATTTTCTGTTTTTATTCCACCAAGGATTTAAGCTGTTCTGCTGTTCAAATCTATTTCATGTTCAAACTAACAAATCAGGAGTAGGGGTATGCCATTCAGCCTTTTGAGCCATCTCTGCCATTCGACAAGATCACTGCTGACCTGATTACATCCTCACTTCATCCTCTACCTCACCAACCTTACAGAAAAAACAAATCACTTCGTCTGTTTTATATGGTGACTCCTGATTTTTAAACAGTGACCCCTGGATCAAGATTCTACCACAAGAGGAAATATCCTCTGCATACTTACCTTGTCAAGACTCTTCAGGATTCTAATCAAATCGCCTCTTTCTCTTCTAAACTCCAGTGGATACAACACAGCTTGTCCAACTTTTTTTTAACAAGACAATCCACCTATTCCAATTATTGGTCTGGAAAACTTCTGAGCTGCTTCCAACCCATTTATGTCCTTCCTTAAATAAGGTAAGCAATACTTTGTACAGTACTCTGGATTCCCAACACAATAAATTATAACATTCTATTAGTTTTTCTAATTACCTACTGTACCTGCATACTAACCTTTTGTGGTTAAATCATGAGAATAGCCACATCCCTCTGTGTCTCAGAGCTCTACAATAGCTCACCATTTATAGAATTCTTTTCTTTCCTTAATTCATTCACTGGATGAGGGCTTGGCTGGCTCGGCCAGCATTTATTGCCCATCCCTAATTTCCCAAAGGGCAGTTATGAGTCAACCACATTGCTGTGGGTCTGGAGCTACATGTAGGCCAGACCAGGTAAGGATGGCAGTTTCCTTCCCTAAAGCACATTGGTGAATCAGATGGGATTTTCCCAACAATCAGCAATGGATTTATGGTCATCATTAGACTCTTAATTCCAAATATTTATTGAATTCAAATTCCACCATCTACCGTGGCGGGAATCAAACCCAGGTCCCTAGAACATTATCTGGATCTCTGGATTAACAGTCCAGAGATAATACCACCAGGCCATTGCCTCCCCATTGTGTCCTTTTGTAATTCTTCCTGCCAAGTTAGAAACTTGCACATTTGCCCACATTATACTCCACTTATACATCTTTGTTCATTCACTTAACCTATGTCTTTTTGTAATCCCCTTGTGTCCTCTTTACAACTTAACTTTCCTACATATCTTTGTACCGCTGGCAAATTTGGCAACCATACCTTCAATTCCCTCATCTAAATTATTTAGATAAATTGTAAACGGATGAGGTCCCAGCACAAATCCTCGCACACCGCTGATTAAGTTTTTCTAACTTGAAAAAAGCCATTTACACCTACTCTCTTCCTGCTAAGCAGCCAATCTTCAATCCATGCCAATTATCCCTACATTGCTTTTATTTTCCAGAATAATCTTTGATGTGATATCTAAGTACATCCACGCATTCTCCTTGATTTACAACATGTGGTACCTATTATCCAACTAAGAAGTTTTTCCTTGGAAAAGGAATTTGCAGTAGCAGTTTAAAAATAATTAAATTGTCACCTCTAACAATTAAGGAAGCTGTTGTTTGTAGATTCCCACAATAACAAGTATATTTGCCAGCATCTCCTCGTTTCACATTGTGGATAAGCAACTCTACTATGGCACCATTTTGCTTCATTTTGTACTTGTCACTTGGTTGAAGCACTGCAAGTCTCTTTCTCCATTCCACAGGAACATCGGGCTTAGAAAGTTCACAGCGCAGTGTGACTGTGTGACCTTCCACAGTTTCCTCGTCCTGAAGCTCTTTTTTGAAATAGGCAGGTACAGCTGAGGTATACATAAAAGTAACTAATGTAAGATTTTTAGGAATGTATGGGATTAGGAATGAATATAACAATCATTATGACTTGTACCCTTGTTGCATTTATATAATAAAGCTGGTCAGCTTCAACTATTCAATTATTATTTTCATTTAATTTTGCATTCATCCACTGTATTAGAACATTTTCCACATGTGCAACAACATCAATCAAGCCCTAAATTTCTACTTCACCCAAAGCTATTGCTATCTTTTCTAAGTTCCTGTCAAAATTCCTTCAGGTTAATATTGGCAAAAAGCCATACTTTCTGACTCCTGCTACACAAACATTGTGACAGGCTTTTCAGGTCAAATAAAATGTTGTGCAACTTGAGGACTATACAATTCAATGTGGAGTGTGTGGGTTTGAATTTTTGCACCAGAGAGCATCTGTGTTGTCACAAAAATGGAACTACAGGTCTAAATTCAGAAGTCCCATCCTCAAACATGGCACTCAGCATTTTTTGCATGTGGGTTGTGGGGAGGAATGGGGGTGAATTCAGTTAAGTGTATCCATGGTTCACGGCGGCAACTGCACATGCCAAAGTGCAGGTTCCTCAGTCAGATCTGATTTTACTGATGGGATGTACATAGTATGACTTATGCATTTTAGACCTGGGAGAGAAGGTCTAAAGCTGCCTGAACTCTTTGGAAAGGTACGGTACCCTCTTAGATATGGTTCTGAACACCTTTTGGTGGGGGTCTCATGCCCTTTAGGAGAGATATGGTGACCTTGAAAATTATTGAAAATGGTAATGAAGGTGCATAAAAATGCATAAATTCATTCAAATTGTCAAGTTGATTGGAGCTATCAGGATAGCAATCAACAGAACTGTCAAGATTACTGTCTAGGGAACTGTTAAGCAAATTATAAAGTGAACTGTCAAGCTGTCATTACATCTTTTTTCCCATAGTGACACAGGAATTATCAGTGCTAGCTATTTTACTCTGTCTGTTGACATAGGTCTGAGGGCTATCATTGCAGGACTCGTGTTACATGACAGATTTTACAATCTTTTATTATTAGTGTAATGCCTGTGAATTCAGTTTTAAGTAATCATAACCTCTTTTGAGGTAGGATTATGAACCCAATAAGGAATTAAAAGAAGTTAAATCTAGCAAATGTGTTTTTTTTTAAATCACTGAGAGTGTTTTGTTTTTAAATAATAAATTGCTCAGTAGACATTTAAAACTTGATTTCATCTCAGGATATATCCTAAAATCTGCCCATCGTGGACACTGGATAAGCTGACATGGAAGGTATAAGTGCAAAAGGTGGCGTGTGGAGTGGCATGAGTTAGCATTAAATTGGCATTGGGGCAACAATGGGTCATGGATGTACGTAGAGGTGACAAGGTTGCATGGGGGCTATGTGGGGAGGGTACAGGGACATTTAAAGACATGGTATTAGGGGCCAGAGGGTATGAGGTGGAGGCAAGGCAAGTGCTTGTGGGGAGGCAGGGATGAGAGGACGTGAAGAACGAAGGCTGCTTTTTGTTTTAGTATCTTTGACAAAGTACCAAAGAAGTGCCTTTTGTTCAGCCAGCCTGTAGACCTGACAGCCTTCAAATTCTTTCTAGGGTCACCCACAATAACTTATCCCACCCCACAGAATGAAAACCTTCTGGAACATTTATTTCTGGGTCATGATAATGGGGCAGAGTATTGTCCCAACTCTGCATTTCTGACCTGGGAGGAAATATTCTGGCTGTGTTATGTTGTCAAGTATTCACCCAGTATAAAGGGAGGAAGGAGTCACTTAAAATGGAATGCTCTATGTTACAGACTTATATGTTTGAATGTAAACGGTCACCCACTTAACTGGTCGTTTCAATTGCATGATTGAGGTATCTGTCAGAGGCAGGTGGGAACTTCATGAATTAATGTAAAAATCAGAATTTTTGGATCTTTTATAAGAGGCATAATTCTGCTTGGTTGAGAAAAGAACGTTATATCTGCCTTATCCAAAACAGCCTGCTGAAATCAACCCTCCATGATATACCTGCTTGTCAGTGAGCCATGCTCTACTGGCTGACAATGCCTCAATACATTGACATCAAAATCTTTGTTTTCATTAATTTAATCCAGCCTGTGAGGGCAAGTAGCGAGGCAGACTGGGTGGGGGTACCCAAAACCAAGAAAGAAGGTGGGATTGCAGTGCCCATCGCCTTCTCAATTATGTTAAAATTTCTCACAGAGTCCAGGAAGGTTCAGAAGTTCCTTCCTGCTCAGAAGTCAAATGAGGTCCTAAGTGCATTAAACAAGGGCCCCCGCCGATAACCATTTGTATAATATGGGTGAGTGGGGGACTTTGCCAGATGGGAAACAATCCAATAAAGGACATCAATCTCCCTGCACAGCAAAGTCTACAGGAGACTCCTGAAACATGTAATCCTCGGTGGGGCGGGGTGGGGCGCGGCTCCTTCCCCAGATGTTATACCTCACTGTTCTCAACAAGGACAAACCCTCCATCATCCAGATTTCTGAAGAAGGGTCCCGACCCAAAAGGTCAACTTTCCTGTTCCTCTGATGCTGCCTGGCCTGCTGTGGTCCTCCAGCTCCACACTTTGTTATCTCTGACTCCAGCATCTGCAGTTCTTGCTACCCCTCCATCATCCAGCTGTCTACAGGCACCTGTCTAACTATCCTCAGCTGATCCCACACACCTCCATTCGAAGCCTACTCCATCTTGTTGCTCTAAGATGGGTACACTTCCTGCAGTGGCCATTGTACCTAGTGGTACTTTTGGAACAGAATAGTTTTCACAGAATCCCTACAGTGTGGAAACAGGCCATTTGGCCCAACGTCCACACCTACTTCTGAAGAGCATCCCACCCAGACCCATTCCCCTACACTTGATTTCCCATGTCTAACCCACCTAATCTAAACATCCCTGGGAACTATGGGCAATTTAGCATGGCTAATCCACCTAGCCTGCACATCTTTGGACTGTGGGAGGAAACCAGAGCACCCGGAGAAAACCCACGCAGACACAGGGACAATGTGCAAACTCCACACAGACAGTCTATGAATTGAACCCGGGTCCCTGACGCTGTGAGGCAGCAGTGCTAACCACTGAGCCACCGTGCTGCCCATAAAATTGCAGCAAACACCCACTGCCATGACTCAGATTTGATCCTCTTTTTGGCTGATAGTCCTTGAAAGAAGGTTCTCCACTTAATAGGAATAAGCAGATCATTTTCTGTTCAACACAGAATTGCATTAGGGCTCCCAGAACTGGCTGAAGCGGAGCTGACCTTGACCTTCCAGCGTGTCGTCAGAGACACCAAAAAATTCATTTAAGTTCAGCACAATATTTCAGTCAGTATGGGCCAGCCCTAACCAGTTGGAGATGCTGGGGAGTGGATACAGTAGTTGGAGTGTCAGTTCCATTGGCGGAGGTTGTTGAGCTAGGAATGGGGGCTGGAGGGGGGATGGTCAGCAGAGCAAAAGGCAAGACAGTAACAATTACGGAGGCAATAAACAATGCTGTGATTTTTTTTAGAAATGTGGGCCTTTGTTCCTGCTTTCTGTAAGTAACCTTGCTTTCCTACCTTTGTCTTACTATCTCAATCTTTATTTTTAATACAAAAGCTATCTCCGATCGTGCCTAAACCTCTCTTTTCTTACTCAGTTTTCAGCTTTCTGCCTTCTAAGCTTTTTGTAACATTTTATTTATGTGATACGCTGTCTAAAAGCAGATCTTTCTCTTCTGACCAAAGAGACAGTGCTGGACTTCCTCCTTTAGGTGTGAGCAATAATTTTGCCATGTCCTTTAGGTGTGAGCAATAATTTTGTCATGGCTTTACAAAAATCTCAGTATTGGTATATCAAAGCTTTACATTCAAAACTAGGCATTGAAGCTACACATGACATCAGTTGCCAGGAATATGAAAGGTCTGGCTCTACAAACAATAAAAGAAAAACTGGCTCAATGCTAAATGAAGATAACTGACAACAGCATGAAAATGGAACAAATTGAGAAGGTAAAGTTAATAGACTGAATGTAGACAAGAAAGGCAGAATGATTTTGTTATTCTTGTGTGACCATGAAGATTCTCAAAAGAACTTGCCCCCTTCTTACCCTCCACTTTTAGGGAAGCTGTAGTTTGTTGATCTCCAGATTCACAGGTATATTGTCCAGCATCCTCTAGCGTTAAGTCAGAAATTACCAACTCAGCCACAGGACCATTTTGCCTCACTTCATATTTGTTACTAGATTTAATTGGTTCTGATCCTTTCTTCCATGTTACTGCCACTTCATCTTCAGAAAGTTCACAATGAAGAATTGCTCTACCTCCTTCCTGTGCTTTTACGTCCTGGAGGTTTTGTTTGAAAAGAACTAGAAATGCAAATAATAGAAGTTAAAGTAAGTTATTAATTTACAAACTGCTTTCTTGTGTGTTAAACATTTCATTGCTAGTCCACATCTTAATTCTCTGCAAAACACAATGCTGTTACAGACTTATGCCAGAAATGATGTCAGCATTCAACAGGGAGATCAATGAAATGGGGTTGAGGTAGCAAGAGAACAGGAGACATAAATGTGAATAAACTCTTTTCTCACATGGAGGGTTAATATCAAGATGAACTGATTAGGCCAGAGTTTGTTTACCTGTGGCAAGTTCTGTACTGTTCTATTTATTTTTTGATGAGCACTTGTTCCTCTTCTGTGTAAAAGTTTGATTGAAGATTGCTTTAGTGCCTTGACCTGATTAAATTTATGAATCATCCACATCCACAATACCCTACAGGTTAATTGGCTCTCATTACATCTGAGTATGTAATGTCCATTTTGAACTTATCAACTACCTGGTTTCTGTTGACCAGGTAAGGTTAAAAACTAGTTGGTTGGGCTCTTGAATTGTAATGGTAGTGTACCTACCTCTGAGCCAGGAGACTTGAGTTCAAGTCCTACCTGGTCTGGATGCATGTAACATTTCTGAACAGCTGAATGGAAAATCTGAAAATTAATCTGGTCATGATGTGATGTCCCTTGCTGGAAAGAGCATGTAAATGAATGATAAGGGAAATCTTGATCTGGCTTCATTACGTTGCTTTCTCTTGTAGGTTGGCCATTTAACTTAGGACTGACGCTGTTATTTCAACAATAACTGAGCAGCATTTAGCACTTTTACGAGATGACAATTTTGGGAGTAGGGGGTAGGTTAGTGATTTCTTTGATCAGTCAGATGTTTATAAAGAACCGATTTTTTTTCCTATTTATTTGTGGAACGTGGGCATCACTGGCTGGCCAGCATTTCTTGCCCATCCCTAGTTGCCCTTGAGAAGGTGGTGGTGAGCTGTCTTATCAAACTGTTGCAGTCCACCTGCTGTGGGTTGACCCACAATGCCATCAGGGAGAGAATTCCTGAATTTTGACCCAGCGATAGTGTAGGAACGGTGATATATTTCCAAGTCAGGATGGTGAGTGGCTTGGAGGGGAACTTCAATGTGGTGGTGCTCCCATATGTCTACTGACCTTGTCCTTCTAGATGGAAGTGGTCATGGATTTGGAAGGTGCTTCTGAGGAATTTTGATGAATTTCTGCAGTGCATCTTGTAGATAGTACACACTGCAGCTACTCAGAGACGGTGGTGGTGGGAGTGGATGCTTGTAAGTGTAGTGCCAATCATGTGGGCTGCTTTGTCCTGCGTGATATCAAGCTTCCTGAGTCTTGTTGGGGCTGCACTCATCCAGGCAAGTGGAGAGTATTCCATCACACTCCTGAATTGTGCCTTGTAGATGGTGGACAGGCATTGAGGAGTCAGGAGGTGAGTTACTCGTCACAGTATTCCTAGCTTCTGAGCCGCTCTTGTAGCCACTATGTTTATATGGAGAGTCCAGTTGAGTTTCTGGTCAATGATAACCCCCAGGATATTGATAGAAGGGGATTCAGAGACGGTAACACCATTGAATGTCAAGGGGTAGTGGTTAGATTGTCTCCTTTTGGTGACAGTCATAGCCTGGCATTTGTCACTTGCCACTTGTCAGCCCAAGCCTGGATATTGTCCAGATCTTGCTGTATTTGAACATGGACTGCTTCAGTATCTAAGGAGTCGCGAATGGTGCTGAACATTGTGCAATCATCAGCGAACATCCCCACTTCTGACCTTATGATGGAGGGAAGATCATTGATGAAGCAGCTGAAAATAGTTGGGCTGAAGACACTACCCTGAGGAACTTCTGCAGAGATGTCCTGGAGCTGAGGTGATTGACCCCCAACAACCACGACCATCTTCCTATGTGTCAGGTATGACTCCAACCACCGAAGAGTTTACCGCTGATACCCATTGATTTCAGTTTTACTAGGGCTCCTTGATACCATACTCGGTTGAATGCAGCCTTGATGTCAAGGGCTGTCACTGTCACCTCACTTCTTGAATTCAGTTCTTTTGTCCATGTTTGAACCAAGGCAGTAATGAGGTCAGGAGCTGAGTGGCTCTGGCGGACTCCAAACTGGGCATCACTGAACAGGTTATTGCTGAGCAGGTGCTGCTTGCTAGCACTGTTGATGTCACCTTCCATCACTTTACTGATGATTGGGAGTAGACTGATGGGGAGGTAATTGGCAAGGTTAGATTTATCCTGCCTTTTGTGTACAGGACGTACTGGGCAATTTTCCACATTGCTTGACTAGGGGAGTGGCAAGTTCTAGAGCACAAATCTTCAGTACTATTGGCAGAATGTTGTCAGGGCACAAGTGTCTTCAACCGTTTCTTGATATCACATGGAGTGAATTGAATTGGCTGAAGACTGGTATCTGTAAAGCTGGAGACCACTGGAGGAGGCCATGATGGTCATCCACTCGGCACTTCTGGCTGAAGATTGCTGCGAATGCTTCAGCTTCCTCTTTTGCACTGATGTGCTGGGCTCTTCCATCATTGAGGATGGGGATATTTGTGGAGCCTCCTCCTCCAGCGAGTTGTTTAATTGTCCAACACCATTCACGACTGGATGTGGCAGGACTGCGGAGCTTAGGTCTGATCTGTTGGTTGTGGCAATGCTTAGCTCTATCTATCACATGCTGCTTTCGCTGTTTGGCATGCAAGTAGTCCTGTGGCTTTACCAGGTTGACACCTCATCTTCAGGTGTATCAGAAATAGTAGGAACTGCAGATGCTGGAGAATCTGAGATAACAAGGTGTAGAGCTAGATGAACATAGCAGGCCAAGCAGCATCATGCTCCTATGACGCTGCTTGGCCTGCTGTGTTCATCCAGCTCTACACCTTGTTATCTCATCTTCAGGTGTGCCTGGTGCTGCTCCTGGCATGCCATCTTGCACTCTCTATTGAACCAGGGTTGATCACTTGGCTTGATGGTAATGGTTGAGTGGAGAGTATGCCAGGCCATGAGGCTACAGATTGTGCTGCAGTACAATTTTGCTGCCATTGAAGGCCCACACTGCCTCAAGGATGCCCAGTCTTGAGTTGCTAGATCTGTGTGAAACATGTCTCATTTAGCACAGTGATAATGCCACTCAACATGATGGAAGTTATTCTCAATGTGAAGGCGGGACTTCGTCTCCACAAGGACTGCGCGATGGTCACTCTTACCAATACTGTCTCGGACAGATGCAACTGTAGCTGGCAGATTGGTAAGGATGAGGTCAAGTATGCTTTTCCCTCTTGTTGGTTCCCTCACCACCTGCCACAGACCCAGTCTAGCAGCTATGTCCTTTAGAACCCAACCAGCTCGATCTGTAGTACTGCTGCTGAGCCACTCCTGGTGGTGAACATTGAAACATCCACCCCCAGAGTACATTTTGTGCACGCCATCCTCAATGCTTCCTCCAAGTGTTCTTCAACATGGATGAGTACCAATTCATTGGCTGAGGGAGAATGGTATGTGATAATCAGCAGGAGGTTTCCTTACCCATGTTTAACTTGAAGCCATGAGACTTCATGGGGTCCGGATTCATTGTTGAGGACTCCTATAGCAACACCCTCCCAACTGTATACCACTGTGCCACCAGCTCTGCTGGGTCTGTCCTGCCGGTGAGATAGGACGTTTCCAGGGTTGGTTATGGTGGTGTCTGGGACATTGTCTCTAAGGAATGATTCTGTGAGTATGACTATGTCAGGCTGTTGCTTAACTAGTCAGTGAGACAGCTCTCCAAATTTTGGCATTAACCCCCAGATATCAGGAAGGAGACTGTGCAGGGTCGACAGGGCTGTTTCCGCTGTTGTCTTTTCCAGTACCTAGGTTTATGCCAGGTGATCCATCTGGTTTCATTTCTTTGAGACTTTGTAGTGATTGGTACAACTGAGTGGCTTGCTAGGCTATTTCAGAGGGCAACTGAGAGTCAACCACATTGCTGTGTATCTGTAGTCACATGTAGGCCAGACCAGGAGAGGGTGGCAGATTTCCTTCCCTGAACCACATGAGTGAACCAGATGAGTTTTTCCAACAATCGGCAGTTATTTCATGGTGATCAGTAGATTATTGAATTCAAATTCCACCATCTGCTATGGTGGGATTCAAACCCTGGTCCCTGGAATATTAGCTGGGTTTCTGGATTAATAGTCTAGAGATAATACCACAGGGCCATCGCCCACTACATGAACCATTTGAAAAACTTATACAACGACTTAATGATGACTATGTACTGAAATGCTTGTTAAGAGCGCTAAAAGAATTACAGCTCCTCTCAGATATAAAATGCCAGTACGCTACCTTTAGGTTTTTCTTGCACCACCAACTTAGCTGCCGAACTTTCACAGCCGATTTTGAATACAACAGTTCCTGAGTGATGTGGTGTGAGGTTTTTCAGTGTCAAGGTATGTATCTTATTTGTAGCTTTAACTTCATTGAGTTCATTATTCTGAACTAGTGTTCCATTCAGCCACCACTCAGCATTTGCAGCATCTTCATGAGACACTTCACACAGAAATTTCACAGAGTTTTGTGAAAATACACTAGTGTCTTCAAGTCCACGAATAATTTTTACATGTTCTGAAAAACAATGTTGAGATGAGATTCCCTTTGAGTTAAGACAGTTATATTATTCATCTTAGTCATACTTTTTTTAGTTCTTTCGAATACCAGCCAGGAAGCAAAAGTAACAATTGCTGGTATCTTCTAAAATCTCTGACATTTTTTGTAAAATTTTTGACATTGACATTTATATTCTTATGGGACTGCCCTATTCAAAGCGCAGGGAAGGTCATTGAGAACATTCTAATAGTTAATAATTGCTAATAGTAAACTCTGGAACAACCACATCACTTCTCAACATTTATCTCAATGTTTGTGGGACTTTTCTGTTCACATTGTTTATCACGTAGTACAATTGACTAAAACATTAAATAATATTTATATAACATCTTTAGCACATTGCAAGGCATTAAAATCAGTCTAAAAGCCAAAGAATGTACCATTGGGGGTAAATTAAAGTAATGGTGTTTAAGAGGATCATAAAGGAAGACAGGGGTGTTGGTAAGTCAAAGATTTAGAGAATGGAGCCTATCCATTTGAAGGCATGGCTGCCAATGGTGAGGCAAATTGGGCCACACTATATACGTAAGTTTACTGTGGAGATTTAACTGCACATTCTCTGATCTAAAGTTATCAAGTGAGGCTGTCAATATTTTACTACAGAGAAAGGTATCTCCTCACTTAAAGGTGAATTAAGATGGAAGTACAGAAAGAATAACATCTTTAACACCTAAATATAGCATATTTATCAGACCATAAGACATACCAGGATTTTGAGACTTTAGAAAATATTTGGACACAACCTTCAGAATATAAGACACATGGCATTTATAAGCAATGTTTTGCAGAAAAATAGTACATGTAATGGTTCAGCAAATACAGTATTTGAAATTCTATAATAGAATCCATTCATGAAAATAAGCATCATCACTGCTAAAAAATGTATGGTAACCTTTGACAGTCAGGGTAGCTGTTGTTTGGTCATCACCAGAATCACAAATGTATATTCCATCATCCTCTTTCTTCAGATTGTGGATCAACAATTCAACAGCACAGCCTTTTTGAATCAGATCATACTTGTCACCATGATCAAGTTTTTTGGATCCTTTTCTCCATATCACTGGTGCATCAGCCTTAGTAAGTTCACAGTGAAGCGTTATCATACTACCTTCATCAGCTTCCTGGCTTTGCAGTTTCTTTATAAAATACACAGGTGCAGCTATAGTTCATAAGGAATAAAAGACCTTTAGAAAAACGCAAAATTAATCAAAAAATACTAACTCAAATGATGGATCATCTCCGAATAATGGATAACATTTGTTAAAAATCCATGCAGGTTATCAATATTTTTGTAAATAATACGGACAATGGACAACATTAGATTTTACAATACAATCAATATATCACAAAAACCTTCATTTCCTTCATGAGGAGAAGGTTTAAGCCTAATTTCCTGAAGTAATTTTTTACTCATATAATAGTACTTTGCATGCACCAGTTTTGCTATTTTAAGGTATTTGAAAGAAACCATGTCACTTAAATTATGATTTTCATTAAGATAGCAAATTATTTATTATTTCAGAAGGTAATCAGTTACCTTTCACCTGCAATATTGCAGTGCTCTGTCTCAGGCCTGAATCACATGTATAGTCCCCAGAGTCCTCTAGGTTCAGGTTATGAATCAGTAGCATGTGCACATAATCTTCTTGTTTGATTTCATACTTCACACTTGGAGAAATTGCACGTGAGCCCATCTTCCATGTGACTGGAACATTGGGCTGTGACAGTTTACAAAGTAGGGTTGTCGTGCTATTTTCCACTGCTTCTATGTTTACAAGCTCTTGTGTGAAAGTAGGCGGAGCACCTAAAGTGATGGGACATTTTTTTCATTTTTTGTGTGCAATACAAGAATGAACAGCTTTAACTCACTTGGAAAATGATCATGGTAACTACAGCAAAGAGATTCCAAAAGAAACTAAATGTTTTGTGCTCTGAGAGTTAAGTTGCTAGCCTGATGCCTTGCTACATTATTTTCAAATATTCATTCATGGTACATGGGTGTCGCTGGCTTGGGCCAGAATTTATTGCCCATCTCAGGTTGCCCTTTAGAAGGTAATGGTGAGCTGCCTTCTTGAACCACTGCAGTCCTTATGTTTTTGATGGATGCACTTGCACTCCCTAGTGACGTATGTTTTATTTTGTGTGTCCTTTCCTAATTAGGCCTCTACCTCACATAGAATTAAATTCCACCTGCCATTGCTCTGCCCAATTTACCAGTTGATCAATATCAATCTGTAGCCTGAGACCATCAGTTTCAACAATACCACAAATTTTTTCATTATCTGCAAACTTGCATACCTTCTACCTCCAAGTAAATAACAAACAGCAAGGGTCCAGCACCAAACCCTGTGGTACATTGCTGGTCCCAGGTTTCCAAATACAAAAACAATCCTCCATTATCATCCTTTGCCTCCTGTTTGTAAGCCAAGTTTGGATCCAGTTTGCCAACTTGCCTTGAATCCCCTGGGCTCTTAACGTCTGGACCAATCTTCCATGTGGGACCTTTTGTCAAAGGCCTTGCTGAAATCTGAAGTCCACATTAACTGCACTATCCTCATCAATATGTTCAGTCACCTTTTCAAAAATCTCAATTAAATCTCCATGTCTAGTCTTGTTAGAATTTTATAGGTTTCTATGAGATTCCTCCCAAGCTTCAGAACTCCAGCAACTATAATCCTAACCAATATGGGGATGCAATGGCTAGTGGTGTTATTGCTGGACTGTTAATTCAGAGACCCAGATAATGTTCTGGAGGCCTGGGTTCAAATCCCACCATGGCAGATGGTGGAATTTGAATTCAATAAATATCTGGAATTAAGAGTCTAATGGTGACCATGAATCAATTGTTCAATGTCGGAAAAACCCACCTGGTTCACTAATGTCCTTTAGGGAAGGAAACTGCCATCCTTACCTAGTCTGGCCTAAATGTGACTCCAGACCCACAGCAATGTGGTTGACTCTTAACCGACCTCTGGGCAATTAGGGGTGGGCACTAAATGATGGCCTAGCCAGTGACACCAACTCCCAAAGGAATACAACTCTCCTCATATGTCAGTTCCACCGTCCCATGAGTTAGTCTGGTCAACCTTCACCAATGCATCCACTATTTCCACAGCAACCTCCTTAAGTACTCTGGGTCTCTGGGTTGTATATTATCAGGCACTGAGGATTTATCAGCCTTCAATCCCATCAATTTCCCCAACACTCTTCTAATCCTGATTTCCTTCAGTTTCCCCCTCTCACTAAACCGTGTTCCCCAATATTTCTAGTATGTTATTGTGTCCTCCTTTGTGAACTCAGAACCAGAGCATATATTTAGTTGGTCAGCCATTTCTTTGTTATCTATTATAAATTCCCCTGTTTCCGACTATAAGGGACCTACATTTGTAACCATCATTCTTTTTCTACTCGCATATCCATTCTTACTGTCAGTTTTTATGTTCTCTGCAACTTATTTTCATACTGTTTTCATTTTTTAATTAATCCCTTTGTTCTCATTTGCTGAATTCTAATCTGCTCCCACAGCTCATGTCTGTTTATTTTTCTGGCCAATTTGTATGCTTCATGGGAGTGGGTTTGGAAGGTGCTGTCCAAGGAGCCTTCATGAATTTCTGCAGTGCATCATCTAGATGGTACACAGTGCTGCTACTTGGCATCGGTAGTGGAGCGAGTGGACATTACAGATGTGATACCAATTAGGCAGGTCACTTTGTTGCAGATGGTGTCAAGCTTCTAAGCGTAGCATGTGTCAGCTTGCACCAATCAGCAGAAATCCTATGGCATTACCTCAATTGCTCATAAGAATAGACACTGGCTCAGAAATACTGATCTTACAATCAATGACTACTGAACTGAGTGAGCAATCAGCACTATATACCATCTTAAATAAAACAAAACGCCACAACGTAACTGCAAAAACACACAAAGTTATGAAGAGAAAACAATCTAATAAAATTAATTCACTGTTGCCATACTTTGTCATTGATTTCATTATACAGAAAATAAAGTGACGAAAAGCGGAATAAAACCAATGTAATTAACAAGAAACAATAAAATGGATTAGTAAATGGCATGTTTATTCTTGCAAATCCCAAGTACAATGCTAACTCTGTTGTCTTTCTATAAATGCTGTCAGGTATCCTGAGTATTTCCAGCACATTCTATTTTTCATTTTAGGAATCCAGAGGTCTGGACCAATGATCCAGGAAAAAGGGCCCAATCCCAACACAACCATCCAACGAATTAAAATTCAATGAATTAAATCAGGATTAAAAACCAAGGGCTGAATTTAATGCTGATATCTGGCTCCCAGTGTCCTAGCATAAATGTCAGGTCTAGCCTGTCTTGGGTTAGCAGCTCACCCCCATTTCCATTTTTCAACTGATGGGGTTTTATATGTCATGAGCTAAGACCTCAATACTTCTCCAGAAGGAATTCCCACCTCATAAACCTGCCAGGGGTAGGAGTCATTCTCAGTAAACACACAGGATTCTGAAAGGGAGGGAAATAAGACATGCTTCTGATTGGCAAAGGGGCCTGGAAACTAGAAGGCCCAGGGTCAAATTAGCCAGACCATACTTTGGGCTTAGACCTCTCCCATTGCCCATTAGAGTGGTGTTGTGGTGAAGTCACTTCACCTGACGAAGGAGCAGTGCTCTGAAAGCCTATGATTTCAAATAAACCTGTTCGACTATAACCTAGTGTCGTGTGACTTCTGACTTAAGCATACAGACAGGCAGCTCTCCAGGTGCCTTCTCGGCACATTCAAACAAGGGTCAATAGATAACAAAAACAAAGTTGCTAGAAAAGCTCAGCAGGTTTGGCAGCACCTGTGAAGGAAAAAACAGAGTTAACGTTTCGGACCCAATGGTCTTCCTCAGAAGTATCAGAAGAGTCACCGGACCCGAAACGTTAACTCTGTTTTTTCCTTCACAGATGCTGCCAGACCTGCTGAGTTTTTCCAGCAACTTTGTTTTTGTTCCTGATTTACAGCATCCGCAGTTCTTTCAGTTTTATTGTAGGGTCAATAGATAGGTGGTTAGCATGGTGCCCGATTTTGTAAGTTTCCTGTCTGTGGATAGCATGTAAAATGTAGTCCCCAGTATATGTAACCGTGACCACGAAACAATGAGATTATCTTTAAGATCCACCCAGTTTACTAATGTTTTTCAAAGAAATTGCCACCTTTTATAGTTCTGACCCGTATTGTACATATTTTCTAATCCACCTATTCAGCAATGTTAGAATAGCATTGAACATGGGCCTCCTGGCCCAGAGATAGGTACACTATCACGGTGCCACATCAACCTCTGGTCCTCTGAAATATCCTAGTAAATCAGCCAGTAGTATGTACCATGAAATTTTACCACCTCACTTTCAACGGTAATTATAAGCATAAATGTTAGCTTTACTAGCGATATCCATAATTCCATGAATGAATATAAAAGACAGCTAGAAACTGTATGTGGAAATTGGCATGATTTATATTTCAGAAGGGTGAAAAGCCTGAAGGATGTTCTTTACATAAAACCATTTTGCAATAATTTAATTCTCCCTAACTGTGTAACAATTATCTCTTGATTATAGTAGCACACGGCTACTTCAACACAGTTCTAGCAGATAAACGGAACATGCAAGACATCTGACACAATAAGCTAAGCAGATGTTTCTATTATTCTTTTTCACTTCATACCTTTTACTAAAAGCTTTGCAGATGATGTATGTTTTCCAACTTTAATGCTTACAGTACCACAGTCTTCTTCAGTGACATTCTTTAATTTCAGAGTGTGAATTGTTCCATGTTCAACAGATATTTCATTCATTTCATTGTGCTGCAAAGGAACGTCACCCAGCCACCACTGCACATCAGCGAAATTTTCAGGATGCACTTTGCACTCAAACACGGCAGTTTCATTAGCAAAAACTGTTACATCCTTTAGGCATTCAACAATTTTTACTTCTGATACTATATAGAAAAAGAAAATTATAGGTTTACAACAATCAACTATATGTGGCAGCCATTTTACAAATTATAATCCATCTATTTACACAGTATTAATCAAATGCACTGTAATGAGATCTTGAAATCAACCATGATTTTACTGGTAGCCGTGATGTGGAGGTACTGGTGTTGGACTGGCGTGGACAAAATCAGAAGTCACATGACACCCAGGATATAGTCCAGCAGGTTTACTTGAAATCACAAACTTTCAGAGAGTAGTCCCTCCATCAGGTGAAGTGAGAGAGAAGTACACAGAACACAGAATTTAAGGGCATAGAGATCAAAAGATCATACAAATGGTGTAGGTGGAGTGTCAATAATAAGTCTCTGCAGGTGACCAAGCGTGTTAGACAGTGTGAGTAAAGTGTCAACAGCTGAATAACAAGTGAAGGGATGACCTATAATCTGATTAATTAAGGTACAGAGATAATTACAAAAAATCAAAAATGAGATGGTGCTAGAGACAAACCAAAATGGCTGGAATAATATTATAGGTATAAAAGTCGCATGACGAGGGTCTAACCAAAGTAGCAAGTAATCCAAAACTGTACAAACTAATAAAAGATGGAGAGATCATAACAAGTTATCAAGGTGATGGTGTCAAAACAGAACAGTGAGGAAGATTTTACACAGAACAGTATGGTGGGGTTACATTTAGCGGTTCACAAACCCAAGATCACAGTTGAGGCTGTCTTCATGGGTACGGAACTTGGCTATTAGTTTCTGCTCAGCAATCCTATGTCGTTGTGTATCTTGAAGGCCACCTTGGAGCACGCTTAGCCAAAGATCGGAAGCTGAATGTCCTTAACCGCTGAACTGTTCCCTGACTGAGAGGGAACATTCCTGTCTAGCGATTGTTGCGCAGTATCCATTCATTTGCTGTTGTAGCATCTGCGTGGTCTCGCCAATATGCCATGCCTCGCGGCATCCTTGTCTGCAGCATTAGATAGACAATATTGGCTGAGTCACATGAGTATCTGCGAGGTATGTGGTGAGTGGAGTTCCCACCTCTGATGGTAGTATCCATATTGATGATCTGACATGTCTTGCAGAGGTTGCCATGGCATGGTGTGTGGTGTTGTGATCGATGTTTTCCTGAAGGATAGATAGTTTGCTGCAAACATTGTTCTGTTTAAGGTTTGGCGGTTGTTTGAAGGCGAGAAGTGGAGACGAAGGGATGATCTTGGCGAGATGGTCATCGTCATCAATGACATGTTGAAGGCTGTGAAGAACATGGCATAGACTCTCTGCTCTGGGGAAGTACTGGACGATGAAGGCTACTCGCACGGGCCCCAGCTATGCCTGCCTGAAGTTCTTGAGTAGATTTGTAGCTCAGGTTGTGGATGCTGTGGCTGGTTTGCTCACCAAACTGGTTCGTTAGTTCGCAGATGTTTCATTACCCTGCTGGGTAACATCATCAGTGCAGCCTCCAATGAAGCGTTGTCAGGTATTCCCGCTTGTTATTTAAATTCGGGGGTCCTTCCTGTTTGTCGGTTATGGTGAACAGTCCCTCTTCAGCACGTACACTGGTACTGTTCCCCAACTCTTCCACCATTATATCGATGACTGCATCGGTGCTGCATCCTGCACCCAGGCTAAACTGGAGCAGTTCATCGACTTCGCTAACAACTTCCACCCCGCTCTGAAATTCACTTGGTCTATCTCAGATATCTCCCTTCCGTTTCTTGAACTCTCTGTTTCCATTTCTGGCGACAGCTTACATACTGACATTTACTATAAACCCACAGACTCCCATAGCTACCTAGACTACACCTCCTCCCACCCTGTATTCTGCAAAAACTCCATCGCATTTTTCCAATTCCTCCGTTTCCGTCGCATCTGCTCTGATGAGGAGACATTCCACTCCCAAGCATCCCGAATGTCTGCCTTTTTCAAAAAACGCTCTTTTCCCCTCTCTGTCATCCAGACAGCCCTCCACCGTGCCTCCTCCATTCCCTGCTCCACAGCTCTTAACCACCGCCAAGCCTCCAAACATAATAAAGATAGGGTCCTCCTTGTCCTCACTTTCCACCCCACCAGCCTCTGCATCCAACGCATCATCCTCAAACACTTCCACCAACTCCAAGAGACCCCACCAACCAGAACATCTTCCACTCCCCACCCCTCTCTGCCTTCTGGAAGGACCATTCCCTTTGCCACTCCTTCGTTCGCACCACACTCCCCATCAACTACTCCAACCCACTTGGTACCTTTCCCTGTAACCGTAAAAGATGCAAAACCTGCCCACACACCACCTTTCTCACCTCCATTCAAGGCCCTAAACAGCCCTTCCAAGTGAGAACAAGCTTTGCCTGCATCTCTTCCAAGCTAGCCTACTGCATCCGGTGCTCCCGATGTGGTCTCCTCTACATCGAGGTGGCACGGTGGCTCAGTTGGGGTGGCACGGTGGCACAGTGGTTAGCACTGCTGCCTCACAGCGCCAAGAACCCAGGTTTGATTGCACCCTTGGGCAAACGTCTGTGTGGAGTTTACATATTCTCCCCATGTCTGCGTGGGTATCCTCCGGGTACTCCGGTTTCCTCCCACAGTCCAAAAATGTGCAGACATGGCCATGCTAAATTGCCCATCATGTTCAGGGATATGTAGCTTAGGTAGGTTATAGGGGGATGGGTCAGGGTGGGTTGCTCCAAGGGTCGGTGTGGACTTGTTGGGCCGAAGGACCTGTTTCCACACTGTAGGGATTCTATGATTCTATGAAACATAGACTAGGTCACCATTTTGCTAAGCGTCTCTGCCTGGTCCTTAACAGCCAACCTAACCTCCCGGTCACCATCCATTTCAACTCCCCGTCCCATTCCCCCTCCGATATTTCCATCCTCAGCCTTCTCCAGTGTCACAGCGAATCACAATGCAAACTTGAAGAACAACACCTTATTCTCCGCCTGGGTACCCTACAACCTGGAGGACTCAACATTGAGTTCTCCAATTTCAATTAACCTTATCACCCATCCCCTGCCTTCCCTTCCAGCCTCATCTTCTCCCTTCCATTCCATCTTCTGACCCTCCCTTCCAGCCACCAACCGGATTCATCTACCAACCAGGTTGTACCTACGACCAGTGTTCACCTATCACCAGCATTCTGCCTCCACCCCTTTCCCCCCTACTTTATCTGCAGCTTCCCCTACACCCAAATCCAGTTCTGAAGAAGGATAATACCCAAAACGTTGACTGCTCCTTTCCTGATGCTGCCTAGCCTGCTGCGTTCTTCCAGCCTCCTGTTTGTCAACAAAAAGTACTCTATCAGTTGTATCCTGTGTATGTCTTCTGAGGAAGTCACTGCAGTTTTTCGCTGTGGCACGTTAGAACTTGTGATCGATGAACTGAGCATTTTATAACTTTCTTATGAGGGCACCCTTCAAAATCTTTAGGTGTCCGTCGCATTCCTTCTCAACTGAGCAATTCCCATGTATGTGCAGGGGATGGCTTCTTTAGTATGTTTAGAGTGGAAGCTAGAGAAATGCAGCATCTTGAGGTTATCTGTGGGCTTGGTGTAAAGTGAAGTACTAAGGTGTCCATCTATGATGGAGGTACGTGTGTCCAAGGACGAGACGAATTCTGACGAGTAGTCCCTGCTAAGTCAGATGATGGGATGGAACTTGCTGATAACGCTATGTAGTCATTTCAGTGATTCCTCGCCATGTAGTCCAAAGGAAGAAAATGTCATCGATGTATCTGGTATATAGCGTTGGTTGGAGGTTCTGCGCAGTAAAGAAGACTTGCTCGAACTTGTACATGCAAATGTTGGCTTGTTAGGGTGCAAATTTGGCCTTCGAGATACACAACAACGCAGAATTGTCGAGCAGAAACCGATAGCCAAGTTCCGTACCTATGAAGATGGCCTCAACCATGATCCTGAGTTCATTCTGTGCTACATGTGACCCCCACCACACCGTTCTGTATCTGTAAAATCTTCCTTACTGGCCTGTTTTGACACCATCACCTTGATAAATTGTTATGATCTCTCTACCTTAATTAGTTTGAACAGTTTTGGATTACTTATTACTTTGGTTGGGCCCTTGGCATGCAACTCTTATACCTACCATGTTATTCCAGTCATTTGGTTTGTCTCCAGCACCACCTTATTATTTTTTTTTGGAATCATCTCTCTGCCTCATTTAATTGGATTATAGGTTATCCTTCCACTCATTTTACTCACACCATCTAACACTTTTGGTCACCTGCAGACTTATTATTCGACACTCCACTCACACTGTTTGTTGTGATCTTTTGATCTCTTTGCCCATTAATTCTGTGTTCTAAGTGCTTCTTTCTCACTTCACCTGGTGAAGGGACTATGATCCGAAAGCTTGTGATTTCAAATAAACCTGTTGGTTTATAACTTGGTGTCGTGTCACTTCTGACTTTGATTTTACTGAATAGCAGAGCAGGCTCGAGGAGGTGAATGGCATACTTTTGCTCCTATCTTGTATATTCGTATTTATTACTGGATGTGAAATTTGGCATTCAGAACAGATATAATGGAGGCTAACTTGGAGTGAGAAATATTACTCAATGTGATGCAGGAAACATGCAATTTTGTCTCTTCTGTTCATAACTATGAATGCAGCATGCAGCCAGGGCTAACTGCTGACTGCTGTATGCTTTAAAGGGAGACCAAAAATTGTAAGTGTTGGTGTGAGCTAAAGCTAGCCTGTAGAATGTAAAGTAGCCTGGACCTCTTAAAAGTACTGCTGCAGCTGGAATAGGTGAGGGAATTCAAAGTACATTTCACTATGGCAGGGAAAAAAAGGAAATGTAATGCAAAACATGGACGTGAGCATGCTGAACTTTCACTGGGACACTTTGGAAGCGTTGCTGGAAGATGATATGGAGGTGCCAGTGTTGGACTGGGGTGGACAAAGTCAGAAGTCACACAACACCAGGTTATAGTCCAACAGGTCTATTCGAAATCACAAGCTTTTTGAGCACAGCTCCTTCATCAG